GCTTGAAGGTCTTCCGGCCTCCTCCTCCTTCCCACAGACATTCCTGGTAGCACTTGGGCAGGAGAAGGGGTGGAGGAAGCTAAGGAATTTGTCAGAAAGCCGCTGTTGTACTCTAAACTGTGACGACTGAAGTTCTTTTAGTTTCACACCCTTCCCGAGGGGTGTCCGGTATGGTCCAGCCGTGCAGGAGTGCGGAGCGTTCGGGGTTGTCTGCCCTGGCACCGACGTGTTTCAGTCCCCGTTGTGTCACCCTGGCCGCAGGAGACCGGCTGCCCGGAGGGAGCTGTCGTTGCCTCAAAGCCTCTCAGTTATTATAGGTAGTCACCATCCCGCAGAGCATCTCCCTGCGAGTTCTGCTGTCGCGGGTGTTGCCAGTCAGTGCTGAGCCAGGGCCTTCCTCTTGAAGTCAGAAGAGTTTGTTTGTAAGCTTGAACGCCTTAGGTATATCCAACTGGCTGGCACAGTGCTTTGGAGGAGAGCTCGACATAGCTAGCCAGAGATTTTTTTTTGTCCGAATGCGCTGGACAGGGAGGTCTGTGAGTAATGAAGCCATAGGAAAACAGGGATGATTCTGACATCCTGAGCTAGTGAGAGCTGAAAAGGGAGTACAAACAGAAATTCATTCAATTCTCTTGTAGCAGGAAAGCTGAGAAGCAAAAGAGAGTTTCCAGCGATGCAGTGATGTGCGTGCTTACTCTGCAATATCCATGAATTTGTAGCAGAATTTCACATTATAGCCAAATTTTCAAAGGTTGGCACCTGTAGCATACTGGAGAGGAAACGCTGTTTTTTGTGACTGCGTTTCAGCTAGAGCTTGGCAAGTTTGCCGTATTGATAATTCTTGTGATTCAATTGGAAGTCTACCAAAATATCATCTTCTCTTTGAAATCCTAGTTGCTGGGTTGAATCATTGCAAGAGAATGCTAACTTCTCTTTAGGGAGGTCATTCTGAAGAAAAAACTTGAAAAAGTGAGGCAATAAAGTGCTTCCTAAAAGTATTGAAAGTAGAAGATTTTCTTTAAAAAAAAAAATGTTTCCTTGGCAATACTGTAAATGGGCCCGTTTATGTAAATCAAAGCTGTTATGTAAAGTTCTGTGTAAAACTGTTCAGGTGGTATGTATACCAAAAGTTATTTGCTTATCAAGGCTGAAAAGGTGCTTCTATTCAAAATTGCATAAAATAGGAAGAAAAGTGTTGTTATGATCCTCTAAAATCTGTGCACTACCTTTCAGGATATCACAACCTCTTGACTGCTTACATTGGTTTAAACAGTACAAGGGAATAAACTGCTAATGCACAAAATCAAGAAAAAAAATGTTGCTTGTGTTTTGTTAACCTTCTGGTTATGTTAATTTGGGATTAAAACACTATATGGAATTTTATCAGAAAATTTTCAGGTTGAAAGGAGTCTGTTTATGTTAATCTTTACTTGTGATTTTTTTTCCTCTCCTTTAATGCAGGAAAGAATTGAGATTCGATGCACCATGTTGTCTGTGCTTCTTCTGAGCGTGTTGTCTGATCTTTTGAGGGACAGGCTGCTCTGAATGGTTTCCCATGAAGTTACTCTATTACCTTATGGAGGATCCCTCTGGGATATGTTTGTCAGGAAAAAAATTGTTGTTTTGCAGGCAACTGGCTCTCTGATGTTCTCCAGCTGCTGGAAGTTCATCTGTTTTCTTCCCTCTTTGCGATGAAGGATTGGAACGCCTATGACAAATGAGTAAAATTCTCCAGTCTCAGCTGGGAATCTGAAAAGATGCAGCGAAGGCTGAGTTCTAAGAATTCAAAGCAGCCTCTGCAAGTTCACCATAGTAATCAAACTGATCTCTCTGCATGGCGAAAAGGAGGGAGAATTGACCCTGAAAAAAGTCTCCAGAATCATCAATCTCCTAGCAGTCGGGTGAATGAAAACAAGCAAGACTCCCTTGAGCAAGCTGTGAGCTACTTTGAGAAAGGTAAGAGAGCAAGTTTTAAGCTTAGATGTCTAGGACTGACAAGACCATCATTAATTTCTTAAAAACAAACAAACAAACAAAACTACCCTCAACTATGTTCACCTGTCATATTCTGTCTCCCAGTTTCTGCAATTTGTAAACATCCTTTAATGTCTCAGAATGATTTCCCCTTTCTGTTGCAATGTAAAGGACTCAACAAAAAGAAATCTGTATAGGGACCATTCAGAGAAGTTTCAGGTAGTTCAGTTACAATTCAGAAATTGTTTTATCCTTGTGTTTGACCTTTTTTTTTTTTTTTTTTTGTAGTTCAAAATAAAATTTCACTGAAAAAGAGTGAAGCTCTGCAGAAACATTTGGCTACGGTGGAAAGCCTCGCCCTGCAAAGAGGGTTACCCCCTGAAGTATTTGATGTATTGCTGAATGTGACACTCAGTGGCAAACTTGGTAAAATGTTTATATGCTGCTAGCCTGTCTTCTGGGAACATGTATCCCTTCCCTCTCATCAGACCTGCTTTGAGAAAATGTGCTCATGGTGACTGTACCGTAGGGCACTTTAATGTAAAATTAGTCTTTCTGGCATGCTGCAGTGTAAATTCTGAGTTCATGCCAAAAATAACCTTAGCTCTTGGTATAGGTGAGTGACACCCAGATTAATAGTAGGTTATGGCTTGTTATAAGTAATTTTTAAAAACCTCGTTATTTCCTTTATTCTTAATTGCAGGTCTCTTAAAGGCTCAAAGTCTGTTCTTAGCAGCCGTTGTATCTTTTCCTTGTTGTAACTGTTTATGAGGGTTTCTTCTTCCCAGAAGCTAAATAACTGAACAAACTGGCATGGTTGCATAAATGAAAGTGCTAAAATTAAATAGTAAGTCATACTGACAGTCAGTTCAGCAGTGTCAGCGCAGACTTGATGCTGCTTTTTTAGAAATGGTGTCCACCACTTATACTTCTAAATTAATATACTGTTCAATTAAGAAAAAAAATTAAACTTTCCCTTCCCTGAAATCAAAGAGGAGCACACAGGATTCTTTCCCCATTATATAATTAGTTTATTAATTTTCTTGACTTAAAATTATTTGCTTACCTCCAAAACACTAAATTGCTGATGTTAAACTGACAATCAACTGACTCTTTTAACATCTAAAAATAATGGGGGGGGGTGTTAATTCATACAACGCTGGGTTAGAAATCCACATAAAACTTTTATAAAACATACTGTACTCTTCTCTGTTATGCTTTCTGACTTTATTTTGGCCTTGACTTGAATGACACCTAGTTGCTTTATGTTTATATTCCTCTGATATGTTATTAGACTAGACTGAAGCTCTTTGAGACTGAAAAGTGATGTAAATTCTATAAAGTGTAAATTTAGATCATCTGATTTCTCCATTACCTTTCACAGCATTTTCAGCTATGCTTTTGGTACTTCATCTGTTATGTGGAATTAGAAGCAAAATTATCTTACATGTACCAGCAAATTATTGACTTGGGCACTATAGTGAAATATTAATATTACCACAAATTTCTGTTACTTTTGGGTGACTTGCTAAGAATCTCAAGACTATTTCGATACTAGAAAACTAGATTGTCCATTTTTTTTCCTCAATCTGGAAAGAAAAATTTCCCATGATTTTTGAGAGAGATCTGAGTCAGGTCCCTGGCAGATTCTTATGCATAGTCACTGTAAGCATTAAAGCTCTGAATAATCTTGCCCAACGAGGGCTTTGACTTAACCTGCAAAAGTGCATCAAAGAATATGAGCAGTGTCCTGTTTTTAATTTTTTTGTTTCCCAGCTGATGCAGTAAATACTCGGTTACTGAAGAGCCTAATTCCAACCTCAGTAATACCAGAAACTTCTGTGGTTTCATCTGTATCTTGGCTCTGTGTCAGCAAATGCTCAGGCAGCATCCAGGTAACTTCATAAATGTTTGCAGTAGTAATTGCTTCTGCAGTGGGACTATGTGGACAGATTATTTTCAGGAAGCAGAAGTACTAAGGTTTTAATGTAAAAAGCTGTTCTAGAAGTTCCTGTCATTTAGCAAGACTGACAGGGACACTGTTACTAGAACAGCAGTAGAAAGTGAGCAACACTTAGAATTCCGAGCGGAAATTTGCACAATTCCTGCTTGTTTGATAGCTCTGTATTCCTTAAGGATGATGTCTACATCAACATTTCCATGAAATACTTCTGTTGTTGTGTGAGGCATTCCCCACCAAATTCAGCAAGGTATTTCTGAAGTTCTGTATGTCGTGACCATGGCAACATGACTTAAGATTAGTGGAAGAGTCTTTCTGATGTTCATGTAGACTGCTCAGAAGTCTGCATCATACCTGAGGGTTAGCATGTATTGAGAACTGAGCTGCTTTTCCTATTCTGGAATAGTAGTTGGTGCTCTGGAATAGTAGTTGGTGCTCTTGGCAGTCTTTCTTCCACAGCGGAATTACTACAGACTGTATATCTAGCTATCTTGTTGTCCTTGAGTGGTGTGTTAACGTTAATGATGATGTCTCTTAAATGGGCTGATGGCTGGTCTGTCTTGCTCCTGTCCCCCACTTGCTGTAAATGGCTCTCTTTCTTCTGCAGCTGCTTTTCGTAAGATGGCTGATCACAATGTTTGACTTCATTGATCACAAGGAACAACTTCATGCCCTCTATGGTTTCTTCTTTTCCTTCCTACAAGATGAGAAGATGGTAAGGAGTGCTGAAGAACGTATGGAATTGACTAAATAAGCCGAAATGCTAATTGATAGTGTGCATATTAAGGCTAGAACTAGGCAGGGGTAGCAGTGGGTTAGAGATCATTTTTATAAGGCTAGAATTTATTTTTCCCTTTCGTTTCAGGTTTCTGAGGTTGCCGGGTAATTTAGATTCAGAAGCAGGGAAGTAGCATAGGATTATTTTAGTCTGAATACTATAGTCAGGTTGTTTAAATATATTTCCAAGAACTGATATTCTGTAGCAAAAACAGAGTGACAGTATATTCTGTCTGAATTCCCAAGGGTCACTGTGACGCTGCAGTCTTTGGAATTGTCTTTGATGTCAGACATCAGCAGGTGAAGTCGTCTGCTCCTGGGAAGAAATTGACTTGCGTACCTTGGGCAAAAAGAAAAAAACAAATTACAATCTCTAATAAATTGTTTTGATTCAAGGGTGCCTTAGTCCTTTTACTGCTAATTCCTGAAATATCCAGCCCTTGTTCCAAAAAACAAGCCCCAACCTCATTGTATAGCTGTATTACTGTAGGAACCACTCAAAATGAAGATAATACTTCTAAATAAAGTTGACGTGCGCCATCTGTTTTAATACTGATTTGTACTGCATGATCTGGCATCCAGATGACATGAGATCTTGTGAAAACATGCTGCTGAGAGTTGCCAACTGTACTCTGCCCCGGTGGGGATGCAGCGAGAACCTGAGGCAGCCAACTGAATGCAACGGTATTAGACTGTGAAGCCTTTATGGGGAGAGTGTCACTTTAAGTGTACGAGTATACTGTATCACTTTAGCTATGAGGGTAGCAGTCTTCCTCAGCGGGATAGTTTATTGCTGCCTTTTCTTTGCAGTGCCCCTATGTCTGTCACCTGCTCTATCTGCTGACCAGGAGAGAAAGTGGTGAGTGTATCCAGCTGTATGAGATGGAAGGCCATTTTATTTGCTGTTTTGTTTGCTTCCCCTGGCTTTTCTTCCAGTGGAGCTAATACAACGGCCAGGCAATTTGTTGCTTTTAAGGCAAGGAAGCATGACTGGTAGTTCAGTCTGATTTGGGTAACAGTTTCTGAATCAGAAACCCATCTATTTGTCCAGAAATAAGACTGGCTGATTCTGCTTGCTTTGCCCTGGCTTCCTGTAATTAAAGTGATATCTCATTTTTACCTGAATGTCTGGCGTAGTGTTTTTAACCATAACGCTCTTAATTTCTTTTCCAGTCAAGCCTTTTCGTATTAGGAGACTCCTAGACCTCCAAGCAAAAATGGTGAGTTTATTTCAAATCTTGTACCATTTGAACTGCGGTTAAGCTTGCAGTTTTTAAGACTAATGTCCTTATAGGATGGAGAAGAGTGTTCGGTATCTCAGGATGGGGTTAGACTTGGAAGTGTAGGTTCTAATCTTTGTAGCATCAGAAGTTTGTCTGTCTGCATGTGCATCCCTAAATCTCATCTGTTCCTTATGAGCACATGCAATGACATGTACTAAGCTATACGTTTTATGGCTAGGTATGGTAGAACAGGTAAATTTAAGAGCAGTTCCTTTTCACTTATTTATTTCCTTCTTTAATTTTCTATTCCCCTTCCTTTTTCAAGCAGTATCAAACCTGTGGCTGAGAAATACAAGATCATATAGGATCTTGCTCCCTTTTCTGTAAGAAAAAACTGAAATCACTGTGTTACTAAATAACGCTATGTTGATAGAGAAGTATAGGTAGTATTAGGTAGCTAGCTTTGAGTGATGCCTTTTTGGAGCTTTTAGGCAGCACAGATAGAACTGTATTTCTCATAGTTTTGATCGTTTAGTTCCTTTCGTGTTAAAGTTATGATGACAAAGTTCCTTTTCCAATCTCTTTTCTATGGTATTTTATGAACAAAGTTTCTGGTTCTTTTCTTCATTTCATTTTCAGTTGTTCATCTCTGGTCACTTAGTGACAAGTAGCTTTAGAAAACTTTTAGTAATCCTAGGGACGTTTTGCTTCTTGAATACAATATTGAGTTTCGGTATTAAAAACATACCACACACTTTTACTCTTGTTCTGTTATTTGACAGGGAATGCAGCCTCATCTGCAGGCCCTGCTATCGCTTTACAAGCTGTTCTGTCCTGAACTGGTGTCCATAACCCTTCCTGGGAAGATGAAGGTAAGGAATGAGATTTGGAACAATGACGTTATTTGTGCCGAGCTTTCTATTTAAGCTATAGCATGATTCAGTGGTGAAGATTAACTCTGTTTCCTCTTTTCACTGAGTAAAATCAGTTTTAGGTGAGGATTCTTTGCCTTGCATTTTGTTTTCTCTGCAATACAATGAGGTGATTTGGAATAGAATGGCATATATCTTTATCCTTACTAGGATTACTTTTATCCTCCTTTTGGTATGCTTGGTGTTTTGAGCTTGTCTCATACAGTGTTAAGTTCTGTAGGAAAAGAACGGTCTTATTTGTGCAAGGCATTGTCTAAGCTGCTGACTTTCTCCAGTACAAATAATAGAAATCAGTTCTTCATAGGAAAGAAAATAGTAGGAAAAATGTGATCAATGGATTTGTCAGAGTCTGTGGATTAATTATGACTTAATTTTTATAGAGGCTTCTATATGTGTGTGTGCTTAAGTCATTCGGTCCAAGCAAGAGTATGTGTAGTGGAAACAGAACATATGACAAAGAAAATAGCAGTAGATAAGACCTAAATTCTGCAACAAAGGTTCTTAGTTTCTGAAACAATTCAATGGGACAGATTTAAGTATATATTTTAAAAAGCATTTTTTATTGAATCTATATGTAGGCAAGTTGTTGTGCTTCCATAAAATAAAATGTATTTCAGTCCGTTTGTGTTATACCTGTATAGTTTGCATCATGCTGCTGTTGGACAATTTTTTTTTTTTTTTTTTTTACCATGCACAGAAGTGAAGCAGATAGATCTAACAACTGAAAACTAAATTGATCTTCAACTATTTCAGTTAACACACTTTATTAAAAGTTTCCATACCTAAGCCCAAACCAGTCTTGGTCAGGTTTTATTTTAATGCATGCTTGAAATTTGTTCTATGAATGGACAAATAATCCTAGAGGATTATAAATCAGAAGTGTTGGAGACCTCTGACTTCTGAAAAGGGGGACATCATTTCAACAGCTACACTTTTATATTTCTTCTGATCACTAGTTAAAAGGCAATAAAACTGAGGAATGAATATAGTTTTGTGCTGACAAAACCTAGCCTCTTGGTTTGTCAAGCACAGACAATTGAGTGTATGTACATCTCTGCAGTGACATGTATCAGAATAGAAACTGATCTTTCTGTCACTTTTTCTTAGTTCAGCCTCTTACATAGACGTCTGATTTATGTTTTCAGACTTATTTCAAGAATTCAGAGGGCCCATGGAAAGCAGCAATCAACGCTATAAGGCGAAGAAACCAGGAAAATCCTCCAGTCTCTCAGCCACTGTTTCTAGGCACAGCTCAACATCAGTCCCGGAAGAGAGTAGGTTATGGGAATCTAGGAGGAGCCAAGCAGGTCTTTTCATGCTGAATTCTGTCCAGTGATGCAAGTCAGGCTTTATTTCAGCAATGGGAAAGGTGGGATGGCTACATGGAAATGTTGCATTCCTGTTACAGTAATAGCTTAGATGCCTTTTTGGCAAAACAGTAAGGGGGTTTATGGGAAGACTGGTCTCAAGTGTACACGATATGTACTTGATTACATTGGAAACTGAGTCACTGCTATTCGTTCATGTTTTTTCTTTACAGAAATGGAATGCGCAGTTGATTATACCTGCAAGCAGTACTAACACAAATAATTTAGCAGGGGGCAAGGAAAAGAACCGTGTCGATTTATACAGTACCAGTGAATCTTTTCCAGTGGAGCAGCTGCAGACCTTTTCCCAGCTCCTACAAAATATCCACCATCTAGAGGTGAGTGCCCGGAAAGTCTCAGCAAGCTTACTGAACGCTGTAGAGCGATCAATGGATATCTCTCTATGCCCTCTTTATACATGAGTAGTGCATGTGATACCTGGTTCTGACAGAGCAGCTAGTCCTGCTTGAGAGTGATGAATGAGTGCTGGAAAAGGTCTTGTCGCTGATTAGAGACCCTGTGTGTCCACTGGCAAAGGGATTGGACAGCTATGATAGCGTGAGCTTCACTAGCAATTTGCAGAAGTAAACAGTGAATAACTAGTTGTCTTGATTTCTCTTGCAGTTTCCTTCTCAGATGGGTTCAGTGCTAACAAACCCCTTGTTGCTTCACTACATGAACTGCATCAAAGATGAATCTATTTACCTAAGGCTCTACTATTGGATGGGCCAGGCTCTTCAGGAAGGTAGAAACTTAGCATTACCTTGCATTTGGGGAGGTAAAGGATGTCTGACACTTTTTATGTTTCGATAATGGTACTTAACTATGCAGGTTTACAGGGATATTTATATAGCAGTAAAATAAATCCTGAAGGGTGATTGGGATTTTGCTTCTGATTGTACTTGTTGTTGCTGTGCGCATGCTCAAGCACAGTATTCTTTCCTCTTTAGAATGCACTTGGTGTGTGGTCGATAGTAACCAATATGAAGCAGAATTCAAGGACTTCCTGGAAACCATCTACAAGACAGAGTGTTTCTTGCAGGTAGGTGCCTATTTTGTGGAAGCCAAGGGTTTCATGAAGTTTTCCCTTAAAGTGCATTTGAGACTTACCTGTTTCCTGTAGCATCTCTGAGAGGTGACAGAGTCTCAAGGCACCAACACCAAAAGTTTGTAGGGCTCACAAACTTTTATTACGAAAGTAATAAAAATGTGTATTCCTATAGCGAGTCAGTATTCTTGAGATAGGCCTGGTTACTGCAGGGATGTTGATTTGAGAAACTAGAGTTCATTAGTTAACGTCTGGATGAATTGTTTGGCGGGAAGGATATGTAAGCCTCTTCCTTTGGTGGTGAATTGTGTCAGTGAATATGGTAAGGTTCAGGCATATGAGATGAATTCTTGAATGTTCCTCTTTGTAGGAGGGATTTTCTTCCTGTGAAGAGTTCCTGTATAAGAGCCTTCCTCTCTGGGATGGCTTCTGCTGCCGATCACAAATCCTCAGACTCGTGACTTGGATCCCCCTCAGCAGCTTCTCTGGTACGTGATACAGATCCTTTGGATGAGGCTGGACAGTATCTGATCTTGGGAGTTAGAATCTGTTCACAGCTTTCATGCGTATCTCTCATTTATTTCAGAAATAAAGTCACACCTCTATGATCCCCTGGCACAGCTCTTTTTCACATCATCCCTTTATTTTAAGGTAATTTAACTGAGTACACTAGGTGTTTACTTTTAGGTGGTATTGCTATCTACACTTGTATAAGGTGTAACAGTCCAAGGGATTGTATAGTGGACGACTTTTGGGAAAGTCTGTGCCTAAGTAAGGGTTAAATATATACTTGGGATGTAGCTTCTTTGGGAGTATGAACAGCTTTAAGATATTTTCTTTTTTGACGGGAATTAAACTAGGCCATTGGAAATAAAAAAAACTCTCTGATAGCATGCAAGACAATAGTTGCTTTGTTTTATTGTAATTTTAACTTAGTATTTCAAACTCGGGTTTTCCAGGACAATTTAAGTAACAGATACATTCAGTTCAAGAGGGCGTTGCAGTTGGCTCACTTTTCTCTGTGGCCCTGAAAAACTATTTATAACTTTCCTTGTACACTTCAGTTCTGAGGGCATGTTTCTGTTTAGTGTTATTCACTTATGGGAGTTGTCATAAACCTGTTTTCTTTTTGCCTTTTGCAGTGCAGTGTTCTTGAGAGCCTGAAAGAGCTGCTGCAAAACTGGTTAAATTGGCATGTGATTCAGCTAGATTCAGAGTCTGCCTCTCAAGGCTATTCTTTGTAAGTTTCTCCGAAATAAATGCAATACCCTGTTTTGTGCGTTGTTCACAAATGTATTTTTATACGTGTATGTTTATGTGTGCATGCATGGGTGCATGTTCTAGCTCTGTAATCTATCTAGTCTTTAAGACTGGCTAGAAGGTCAGTGATGCTGTAAGGTTTCTGCTTTATTGTAGCAGTCAGTCCTGTTCTTTGCTCTTCCTTTAAAAGTATTCAATCGACACTGAAAACTGAAATGTCCGGAGTCAGTATCCCTGTAACGCTGACAGCTGGGCCACATTTAAAATAATGTGGATAACAATATGTCACTGGATATATGTGAGAAAAAAATATTGCTGAGTGGGTGGTGGTGGAAGGTGGGGGGCAGTGGGGCAGAAGGATGACCTTCAGTTTCCTCTTTACCACTTCTGTTTTGTACTGCTTGTGAAGAGGTATATATGCTAATGTTGTGTATCATGCTACTGCCACAGGAATACCACTCTTTCTGGACTAGTGAATACGGTGGCTGAACTGATCCACTTTGTTGGATGGATCTCTACTGTTGCACTGCGTTTGGAAAGCAATGCTACTTTCTTGCTGTACTTCATTCTGGATTAAGCTGGAGGACGAAACGGCGTTCCTCAGTTTATAGAATTTCAGTTCTGATTCAATGCCGGAACCTTCCAAATACCTGCTAGATCTGCAGGTGATAGCTGCTGCTGTAGCATCAATAGGCAAAACTAAATATTGCTGCCAGCGCGTGGTTGCTCTCAAGTCAGAGGCGCATTGCAGAAGAGGAAGTAAAAACTTGGTGTCATGTGAACAGCTGAAGCTGTTTTTTAATACTAATTTATAGAAAAGAACAATGTTCATTTCAATTTCAAGCCACATATCTTGATTTGCTCCTTAAATGTTCCCTTTAAAAATTAAATGTTTTCTCCCAGTTCATTCTGTAGGCAAACTAAGCAGCTTCATATAAACTTAAGCCTACTCTGTAGCTTCCCCGCTTCCTCTATGGGTGTGTGCTTATGCCATGTGAACTCCAGCCATGCTGTTCTTGCTTACAGTTTGGATAAAAATGCAAAGAGTTAACAAAACAATGAAAGTTTATCACGTGCTGACATCTGCTTGTAGCTAAAACATCCATAAGAAAATTGCACATAACAAGTGGTCACGACATTTGCAGAAGATAGTATGTTTAAAATAAGTGCTCATTTTGTGGGAATATACCGAGAATCATACAGGCTTCAGTGTATGATTATTGGTGCTCTAGCAGACAACTAAGTTCACATGGCTTGGTTTTAATGTTTTTAAAGGAAGTGAACTTAGCCACTAAGATATATTACTTTGCCATTAAGGTTGGAATTTGTTCTTGACTCTTTGCCTACATATTCAGAATTTTTAATTTTCTAAAGAATTCTAAAATCACGCAGCTGAGACATTAAGTAAAGAATCTAGTTTTCTGAAAGTATCAGTAGCTCAGTTACATAAAAATATCTGCCTGTACCTTAGCTGGTGTAAGTGTACTGAGGGCAAGAGGAAAGGTGTAGGGCTCACAAACTATCTGTCTTTGGTGAAAAGTCTGTTATGAGTTGGGGTGGGCAGGGGGATCCTAAAACAATTGTGATGCCCGACTCAACGTACTGTAAAAACTATCCAACTTTTAGATGGTGGGCTGTCACAGCTTAATTGTCTATGATCCGAGCTGCAGTAACTAGGTATTCATATTCTTAGCCCACTATGTTTCTAAGTAAAATGCGTTAGTTTAAAATACCTTTCTGAAAAGAAGTGGAATAGTCTGGACAGTTACTGTGGCTAAACTGGTGGATAGCAATGTATTAAGTCTCAGCAATATTGCTTCAATTCTTTATCCGTACTTTAAGGCTGCTGTTGTAGCTGAAGACCTTGTATCAGCACAAATTATAAAATGCCTCATTACTTGTAACTCGACCTTAAATTCTAAACATGAGTCTAATCAAAAGGTTGTGTTCTATGGCCATATCATCTTTTCTTAGAGCAAAGCTTTATTGTGTGGTCATGCAATTTCAGCAAGGTCAAGTAGAAGAATTTAATTTTCCATGTGGAAGAGTTGTATGGTCTATTGTTTGACTTGCTGGTATCGACAAACTAGACTAGGAGACAGGCCTGGTCAAGTAAAATCCAAGCTTCATGTATAAAATTGATATAAAATACCGGGGAAAAAAAGTGGCTGCTGCTTTTTTACAGGGATCTGGTTTGATTTGACGCAGCAAGTAACCAAACGTAAGGTGCACTTAAATGGTTAAAGCAGACACTGAGACGTGTACTGCTGAATTTGTCTCCTCTTGAGAAGGAAACAAATGGAATTGCTTCACCCTGGCCATCCCTCCAAGGTGAAGTTGATGGCACTGGCAGAAAAGTGATGTTGCGCTCTCTTTTGTTTGGTAGATATTTGGGGGTTTGTTAATGGCAGTAACAATCTGCCTAGATTTACTTCATTCCTGCAGGTGTGTGACATTTATCTGAGGTACAATCTGCCTTTGCTGATAATGCCTCCTGCTGGAGTTTTCTACCCAGCACTGCTCAGCATGGATTCTGTCAGCTTGAATCAGCTCTGCTACATTATGTACAGGTAATACAAATGGTGTGGGCTGTAGGGACTCCTCTTTTGATCTTTTGGAAATAACATTACTTTGGTGTAAAATCAGAATCTTAAATCTGCTTTTTCTCACTGTTCAAGGCAAGGCAAAGGTGAAACGTTCCGGCTGTGCCCAGCTCTCATGATACAGTCTTTTACAGCAGTAGTTCCTACTCTTTTTTCAATCTGTTATCTCAAATAGGAGGATTCTGGCGTCTTTCCTTGTATTATTGCTGTATCTTTGGCATGTGAAGGAAGGAATTCCCATATTGTTTTAAGAAAACTTAAGTCAGCCAGCGGCAAAGAGCTGGAATCGTTAGTAGCTAACCAGAAAACTTCTCACTCCTGTGCTCTGATCACTGGACTTAGGTTTTTCTTCTGAATTCTGTAATGTGCTAAGTACAAAGCGCTTCTGCCATCTCCAAGCCCTGTGGGAATTTGGGGCTGTCTTGTGCTGCCTGAAGATCTGAAGATGGCACTGTTCAGCTCTCTGCAGGATCCATGAACAGGGCTGCTGTTGTTGGCCTTGTTAGTTCCAGTGGTTGCATCTAAGAAGAGTAGCCAATTGCTGACAGCTGGCGTAGGACTCTCCATGTGCCTTTTTCTCTGAGGAGTCTGCAGGGTAATTAACATGACAGGATGGTCTCTGGGAAATAAGAAGAGCTAGTGCTTATTATGTAGAACAACTGTCAAGTTGCATTACTTCCAGTGGCTTCCATTTCTCTACTTGGTGAATGGAAGTCTCCCTTCTTAAAGATACACTGCATGTTTCTGCTGGTTGCAAGGCTGTATGTCACTTCTTGCAGGGAGCCTTTATGAAGGTGACTTTGTCCCATGCAAGCTAGTCACATATTGCTCATCCAAGAGATGACTCTCATCAGGTATCTTCTTATTCTCGCGGGAGAGGCTGGGTCTATGCCAAGTAATAAAGCACCATTCTCCTGCCTGTACTTTTTAAAACCCATAACAGAGAATTTGATGGTCTCTTTGGAGGAAAACAATTTCTTAATTCTCTGTATAAGCATTCCTTCGCCTTTTTTCAACACTAATCTGTAGTAAAATTTAGAGGCATCTAATTTTTTTTTTTCCTCTCAGGTATCGAACCAACTTGGTAGCTGCAAAAGAAAATGAGCTGATTAAAAAGGTATTGTGGACAAATCTGGCTACATGCTAGAATGGACCTCAGTAAGGAGCTGGGATGAATGGAAAGGAGGTGTTCTAATAGCCTTCTTTTTAAGGACTAGAAGGAATACACAAGTGCTCTGAGGATGCAACTTACTGATTTGTTTTCTTGTTCCTCAGAAAATACTACAATTCAAGTTCAGTAGTCAGACCTACCAAGAGTACAACCAGTATATAATAGCCATGGTGGGGTGCCTGTGGACATCCAGTGCGTTCCAGAAGGATATTCATCCTCAGGGTGTTCGTCTGGATGATGAAGTGCTGAAGAAAACCAGAGTACAGGAATTCAGAACCAGCTTTAACATTGTCTATCACCCAGCCATGATGGGCTATGCTCTCCTCTTCCTGCAGCAGGTAATGGTGTAGGCCAATGCTCGGCCCTTTGACAGTACCAGATGTTCTGTCTTGGCAGTTTCTCTAGAGAAGTGTCTCGGTACACTGGCAGAGTAATTGGCACTTTTAGAGTCAACAGAGCTTTCAAAAGCTGTTATGGCATTCTGTGTGCATGTCAGATCAGTGGCACAGTTTGAATAGTTTTTGTTTGTATGGTATGAAAGTATGAGTGTAACAGTTGAAGGATGTGAATTTGTGCTTATGGTCTTTTTCAGGATAGAACTAAAATAGATCAATAATGAAAAAGTAGACTAATCCTGTACAAACTTCCCAAGAGCGCAGCCTGCCCTACGAAATATGGAGCGTGATGTAAACTTTTAAATTCCTGAAAATCAAGAACTAGAGTTATGGCGTGTGCAAATGCCCACAGTAGAACTTTTAGCTCTGCTTCCTGGCTCTTGCAGTAGCTTTTGAGAATGGCTCATTAAAAAAGAGGTATAAGTTCCTATTTCAAGTATATAAGGGAAAAGCAGGATAATGTGGTGGTGCTGCTTTGTATTGCCTGATATTTTTGAGTTGTGCTACTAATCTGCTGGAATTCCAAGTGCCACCGTGTGTTCAGTGCAGCTACTCAATAGTGAAGGGAGCAGCTTGCCACAGCTGTTACTGGGCCGAGAGGTGCGCGCTGCCCTCGGAAATCATGTTTTATGGGATGTCCGAGGGGTGTACAAACTGTCTTTTTGTTGCAAGGAGCGCTGGCAGACTTAAGGCACGTGTAGGTGTGGGCTCCTGGGCTCACTGGGACCAAATGAAGGAAACCTGTGGTCAAAAAGTTGAAGCAGAGAATCCTGGTTAGGAACATGTTACAAATTTGAGTTGGTACATACGCTCAGTGTTGTGAATCTAGGTAATTTGTCTGTTAGGGCTGCTGACCTAAACGCAAGCTTTGTCTTAGCAAGAAGAAGCTGTTTTATTTTTGTTAAATATTTCTTAAGAATGCCAGAATTAAATTCTTTTATTTTCCTTGCTCTTTCTGCTATTATAGCAGGATTAGCCTTGCATATCTTTTTGTCTAGTTCCCTTTCTGTTTTGAGGCTTTCTAATTCCTCCTTGTAGTCTGTGTATGTAGACACCTGCTGGTGGAGAATTCTTGCATTCTTCCTACTGCGGGATCAAGAAAAAAGTTTTGCTTAGTAGCTGTCACAGACGCATCTTAAGATAGGAAAAACTATTAAGCTGCAGTGCAGTTTTTTTCTTAAACTCTTCAGTGCTGAGCACCAGAGGGCACTGCTCTGCAGCACACTGAGAACAGAAGCAATAAACTAAATGTCAGTTGGTTTTCTCCTCTTGCTGTCTCACTATTGGGAATTGTCTATCTAATGTTTTGAAGTATTGGCTCGAACACTGTAGAGATACAGTGGTTAAAGATATCTGTAAATGTGCTATGTTGTTATCCAGAAATACTGGATAATTGCAACAGGGGGCAAGAGGGTCTCCATGTCATCTTGCTCTTGTGGACTGATTTAAGTAGAATGCTGGAAGTCCGTTCTTGGGCATGATTAAAAATCCCTAAACTTCCTTGTACACCTGGAATTCATGGTATAGGAGGAGACCAAGCATTTTCGATGTACTTTTTATCTGACTTAATACTGTTTTTATTCCCTTTCCTTAAGGCCTGGCCAGATGATAACACCTTAAACTTCAGTTTAATTAAGGTAAAGTTTCTTTTTTTGGTGAAGTGAAAACAGGCTATTTTCAGCAACCACTTAGTCAGAAGAGGGTGAGGTGATAATATTCACTGACTTCAGAAGTGCTCTGTAGAAATTTTGAAAGACAGAAATTCTGTCTCTAGACATGGATTTCAGCTCCCAACATGGCCAAACTCAAGTACATCAGCATCTGAAAATTTAAGTTATGTGTCTAGTGATCTGTGGTTAGTGAGCTGAGATTTTTATATGTCCTGAACTGATTCCTGGACAGAACAAGAAGGCTGTTTATCTTTCTTCTGTGCAGACTCTGGAAAAAGCTATTTTTGCTGCAACTAAAGCAGAATTTCAATTATTAATAATGAACTTAAATAATATTTAAGTGTTGCTTAATGTTGCTTTGTTATAGCAGGGGTCCTCCACTGAATAAGTACAGTGGCAGTTTCCCTTCCTGCATCGCAGTGTACCTCAAACCTGATCTGGAGGAATCACTGTTGGTGATGGAAGGAGGACTTCAATATCCATGTTCGTTCAGTCCTTGACTTCTTCACTGGTGATGCAATAGTCTTTGCCCTCTTAGGATGGGGATTTATGTGCATCTTCAATGTTAAAAAAAGATTATGATTTTTCCACGTTCAAGCTAAGAACATGTAATATACAAGTGAGAAGCTTAGGCATCGGGGGAAAGGATGTAACCTCTGTATAGCTGTGGATATTTATGGAGTAGGATGGATGTGGCTGAACTGTGGCAAGTGATATTTGCAGACGTTTTCAGATGGGCTCAAGAAAGGGACAAAGCTATATACTGCACATCTAACTACTCTTTCTGTTTTTATAGGGAAGGAAGTGGAACTGGTATCTGGAATATCTCTATGCACAAGGTTTAAAAGGCCTGAAACTCTTTATCGAAAGCAGCATCAATCGTGTTTCTCAGGCCTCTCAAAGCAAAGCAGGGAATGTGCAGGTGTGACCCTGGGACTCACTGGAGCCTTTTGAGCATCTGAAACAGGAAAGCAGAATATAATGGATTGTGTCATTAATTCTTTCCTCCTTGGAGGAAAGAAATAGAGCAATTACACTTGTTTGCATTTTGATACTGACGTCTATTTTAGGAAAGTGAAGATGTAGAAGGAATGATTCGGCTGCCTTGGTTCACTAACACTGAACCCCTCTGTCCCTGCTGAAATTCTTTGGTTTGAAGCTGCTGAGCTCGTATGCTGTGTAATGTCCGCATTTTCATTGTTGTTTTTCTTATAATGGAATAGCTGCTTTGATTGAGGAACAAACATTTTCCATCTCCAAACTGCAACGAGCAGTGCTGCTTCATTTAGAAGTAATGTCTGCTACCTGGCCTGCTTTACTTCTCTCAACAGTAGGTAATGAGGAACAATTTAATCAGTCTTTCAGGGATACTGTGTTAGGTAATGGATCAGAGGACTTACAAGCTTCCTGAATCCCCTGTTGTACCATGTATATGCTGAGTCTGAGCATCTATAACAGGCTGGCCAGACTAACCCTCTTAAATACTTGTTTCAGTATGAAGCTTCCAAAACATACTTTTGGCTAATATTGCTTGTGGTGATGTTGTAATGGATCTGGAAAAGTTGCTGCTCAGTGGATGGTTTATTGATGCTTTGAGCGCCTGAACAGTGTTGCCAGCAGGTCACCATTTTCTTTTGATAAGTTCAAATGTAGTTTTCCTTTTTGTGTTTTTAGCTCTGTACATGTTGTGTATTATATGTGTACATATATATAATTTATATTCTGTAAAATGTTTGCAACTTGCCACTTTCAAGGGATTCTACTACAAAATGTATCTTCTCCTGTGATTTCCTTTTAGCACTTAGTAGAAGTCAGGAGAAGCTGAACTCAGGTCTCCAGAATTTGGATGAACTTTATTTCACTGCTGTAAAATGAGGTCGTTACCACTCAGAAGACGGGGCAGAGAATACTGAATTTTGCATTGTGAATTTGTACTTTGATCAAGTAAAGGAATTACTTCAGTTCCTGAGAGGGACTCCAGAGTCACTAAGGATATGAAAGATATTAATGGTTTCTTCCCCCTCTTAAAATCATATGGGCTCCAGGTTTTGTAGACTTGTCACACTTTTCAACTCAGACAGTTGATCTGATAAATATATGCAAACATGCATACATATATGTATATATATTTTTGTATATATATATTTATACGTATATATTTAACATGATAGCAATGGCTGTTGGGTACCTTATTCTTCATAGATCCTACGTGACTTTTAGGAATCATATCTGTCTCTCCAGAGAATAAGAAAATCTTTCATTGAAGACTTTGAAAATAACTCTGACAAAATAATTTTTTTTTCTTCTGAGAAGTTAACTCATGGTGGATAGGATCTTATTGGAATTCAACACTGAACTCTTCCGTGTCTTCAAGATTTCAGCCTCATTGAAGGTGCTTGTTCCCATTTCCTCTCTCTCTCTTATTCAATCAGTGCACTGGCTATCTTCCACTCTTTGCAGTTCTTGCAGGGAGATTTGCTTAGAAGAAAATACCTTTTCTTTCGCATCTGGCTATGTTATTCTGGCTAATGTAGAAGCTGCTTGGTGATTTCTGTTGAGAGAAACAGATTTTCAAAAATCCAGATTATACTTTCTCATTGCAGAGGCAACTCTACTGCTTACAGATTCACCCGACTGGATATGATTCTAAGTGTGGCCCTAACATTGCGAATTATCTCTTTCAAAGGGTGGTATTGCTATTTTGGACTGGGTCAGTGCTTCATAGTTTGGGACTATCCCAGCATCCACCTCCCCAACACCACTGGCCGGCAATCGCTATCATAATGTGTCACCTCTTAGTTGTTAGACTCCTTCTTATATTCCTGTTTCAGCTAAGGACTCAATGAGGAGAGCTAGCACTATGTAATTGCTTTTATCATGCCTCTGTGAAACAGTTCTCTTTTCAGAAAAATCTGAGAAATGCTAGGGCTTATGCTGGAAAACTTGCACACTACATTCCTTAAACATCCTTAGCCTTCATCCTTACATCATACAGTTATCTTCAAATGTTGGCCAAACTTATCCGAAGACTTGTACTTCTGTATTGCTACACTGGGATTCTGTATAGGAGTAGGACTGGAGAGATTGTCAGCCCCAGGAAAATCCAAGGTGAAGGCATGCTGACCATAGCATCTGCTCTGAGGACTGAAATGGAGACTGTCTAGCCCCATCCGTTTTCTGGTAAGTGACAAAAGAAATTAATAATGTGCCTATAGTGCCCTTTCCTGCTCTTTGTCAGATGCCTGGTGTATGTATTCACCGTTAAAGTGCAGCAGAAACAACTGTCTTGAGGTACAATTCAGTAGAAACAATGCTGCATGCAGCACCCCAGAATGTTTAAGTTCAGGTCAGGCCTGTAGCCTCTCCCTGCGGTAATTATATGTGACATAATTCACTCTTTAAACAACAAAAAAAATTTTTAATGTGCCTGTAAACGTTTTTAACATTTAAATTGTTCTTTATCTTCACTTGTTACTTTTTTTTCCCCCTCCTAAAGCTTTGATAGGTTTTCTCTAGAAGGAAAGTGCATGCTTTCATATCAGTTGAGTCTCCTGCGAGTGTTTTTTCTTTCTAGGGGATGCTGTTTCTGTGTCCCAACTTCTAAGGTTCTGCTGATCTCAGGGAATGCTGTTTTGTGTCCTGTGCGTTCCCATAAGTCAATGTTGATTTGCTCCAATAGCTGTGTGTTCTTCCTTCCCTAGAGACTTCTATGTGCTTTCAATTTAGGGGATTCATAATACCACAAGCAGGCCAGGGCAGCAGTCGTTTTAGCTCTGACCTGCATTCTGCAGCTTTTCTAGTAGTCTGTTTAGGTGATACCAAACAGTGAGGCCTTTCCCTTTAGGAAAATCTCTAAGCAGGTGTTAGATAGGATTTCAAAGTACAGGCCCAGAACCTTATCTGGGGTAAACTGGCATAGCTCCACTGACTTCTAAAGGAGCTATGTTGAGTTGCACCAGCTGAACATCTGGTCCACAGTTCACAGAACCAGAGCCATTAACCCCTCCACTGCAGACACATTGCCCTGAACGTAATGCTTCTGAAACCACACATGCTTCAGGCTGAAGTTGAATTATTTTTCTGAAGCCATGTTTGTATTATGTTTCTGTTAATCAAGACTTTATTTTGTAGGGAATCATTCGTGCATCTTTATTCATCAGGCAGTGTTGCCCTTTCAGAGACAGCTTGCTCTGAAAGAGTTAACAATTTCAACCTGTTTTCAGCTGGAATGAAGAAACTGGTTCCTCTGTGTCCCTGCTTTCTATTCTCTTGTTGGCCTACTTCCCTCTGCTTGCATTTTGCATTCCTAATGCCATGAATAAATCAGGACCCAAGGATTTAGAAGGTGGTACAGCTGTAGCCACTCAGAAAATCAAACCTCTGAGGCTTGTATTGCCGCTCTAACAACTGCCAATATGTGTGCTTCTGCACCCTTCTAATAACATTTAACTGGTACCAACGTAAAATTCCCTTCAGTAGCCTTTGTCAATAAGATTTAAACTCTTGTACCACTGTCTCCTCACTCGGCTTCCTTTGTCTTTGAGTTAAAGCTCTAGGGTGGTCCGTCAGCTCCCGGTCACTGTGACGAAATGTTTTATCTCAAATCTTTGCACACAGCAGAAAAGAAAAAAGGAAACTGAGGAATCTGACCCGGCTAAGAGTTCATTTTCTCTACAGAATCTTTAGCACAGTGAAACTCTGCTCTCTGGCTGGGGTGCTAGACGTTCTAATAATGTGTTGTTAATAATATGCAGTGGACTCCTTTCATCTGTAGCAGTGTGGCTCCTGAGAGAGTGTGAGGGAGCTTTATTTGCTGTTCTGTTAGAGGAGACATCTAGTCTGGGTGACAAACAACAAATACTGGTAACGAGCTTGCTCTGGAGGATGCATATCTTGAAAGAGTAAAGTCTCCAGATATTTCCTTCTAGGAAAGATGACTTCTGTTGCAGCAATGACTATCTCTTATTAAAGCGCTGCTTTTATGAACAAAAGTAATGGTTCTGATCTGATGCTGGCTTGATTTTGCCAAATTTTGCTTTTGACTAAAAAGATAATAAAAGCATATGGTGGTGTGGTGTTACGCACAGGATTCCTGAGATCTGTATTCAGTTGGTAGACCTGCCCCAGTAGTTTCCAAGTATTTATAGCTGGCAAGGCAGGCACCGATGTGCATAAATATCTTGGTGACTTCAATAAGGTGCATATCTTGTGATACGAAGCAGAGAAATGAAGCAGTAGTTTCCTGCCTTGTAGGAGTAAAAAGCCTCCGTAGGAGAAGGTAAGATTGTTTTTAAAATGCCTTAATTACTTTGGTGTCTAAATTCCATTTTCAAACTGACTAAAATCTTTTACAAGCATATAGGTTCAAGTAGTCAGTCTTCAAAAAAAGCTGCAGGTACTTTACACAGGCTCTAAATAGGTTTTTAGCCTTGGCAGCATTTAGAAATCTGTAAGCTCAGACACGTGATCCCATTCTTGCAGCTTTAATGAGTTAACGTGCATCAGCCAGACTCTGGTACCCATCTGAAATGTGACACAAAATGGACCGTTGTAGTACAGGTTAGGGGATGTGATATTAAGTCACTGTAACGTGGCTAGGTTCCTGAGCCCTGAGTCTCAGGTACTATGTGTAGATGCAAGTCATAACAAACACTTCTGAAAATTTTACTCTCTGCCTACATCATTTGGACTCTTCCCTTAATACAGTAAATATACAGGATTAAGCTTCTTGGCTACATTTTTATATATATATATGTATATAATGTAGGCTGTATCCTCATGCAGTGCGACTTGCTTTCCTCCAGTGTCTGTACTGCCTGCAAGTCTGGAGTGTGATCTCTCCAGGAAGAGGCTGCTCTCTGCAGCTTTTCTCCCAACCCTCTCTTTAGACTTTCTAGGCCTGTAACATTCCCATCATGGTTCATTGTATACGGATCACTAAGCAGTTTCCTTTCTCTTAGGGCACCTCTGTTCTGTGTCTAAGTGAATCTTCAGCAGCTCCTCTGTGATCGTTTTTCTGCTCCTTTGTGTGCAAAGCCCAGTAAATAGGGAGGGGGATGGAAAGGCACAGCATAAACATGTTGACAGCCTTTGAAGAGCAGAAAGGTCCCTGAAAACACTTCCCTCCCCTTTTCTCCTGCATGTCTTTACTTTCTTTCCTATCATTTTTTTCTTTCCATTTTTCTCTCTTCTTTTTTTTTTTCTTTCTTTCTTCGTCCCTGCCCCAAATTCTGTTGCACTCTTCACACCCAGCCCTTGTTCTTTTGGTGCTCTTTGCTCCAAAAAGGTTTCCTCTCTCCGCTATAGTCTTTCTCATTTCTCATTCAGGAAGGGCTTTTTTAATCCTTACGCAGCAACAAATGAAAAGGGAGATTCATTCTATTTCTGAATGCATGGTAACTGTCTGCTTATATGAATTGCCTACCGATTCTTCCTTCTCACCCCAGGTATCATGCTTTTAGAAAGTACCCTGCTGTTTTTCTACGCATTTTGATACTAATGGTAGGCAAGGTAGAATCTGTGCTTGGAAAAATTTTGTGCTTACTGATACTGCCGAAGGAGGTGCAATTATTTGCTTGACATCAGTTATTTAGACAAATGAAGGAACTGTATGGCAGATGTTTGGGCAACCATTCCTGACTCTCTTCAAGCTGAATTTAGAGCTTCCTTCCTTCCTTGTGAAAATGGGCACTTTGTGCTCTACTCACAAGCATGCTTGCCTACCTAATGTACTGGAACTGGGCAGATCTGTCCCTCTGCATGCGATCTGTTCTCTCTAGCTTTGCATTTGCAGGTAGGCACAGCGTAACCAGTGTGATCAATGGTCCTGCATCAAAACCGTATTACTGTCATTTTGACGAGGATGTCTGTGCCAGAATTCAGAGTCCCATCTGTTACCTCAGTTAGGAGGAGACCCAGATGATGGAGTCGTGTGTCCCTGGAAAGCAGGTCTTTGTAGGATCTCAGAGAGAAACAGGATTCCTTCAAGCCGTCAGGTACAGTTTTCCTGCTTGCAAGCCTTTCACCATTCTCCAGCAGCTGGATACACAAATACACTGTGAGTGTACGGCTCTAGAGAAAGAGTTCTTTTTTTTTTTTTAAATCTATTCCTCTATTCTCTTTTTAGCAAGTATACACTTTAACATATATTCTCAGTCAATATTTAGCTCTGTCTGTTTTAGCAGGAGGCATATGCATTCAATTTGGGATTTGGAGGCTGTTAGGATATCAATGACTTGTTTCTGTATGTAGGAACTTCATGATCTCCAACAGCTTCTCCAGCCCTAGTTTAGGAATTAAGCCCACCAGGCTCCACCAGCTGCTTTTCGGCTTGCAATGTCATGTGGGTTTCTCATCAAAGGTTGCTTGACAAAACGCTGCAGTGCTTTATGTGCAAGCCAAAGATCGATTGAATACAGACACGTGAACATGCTCTAAACTGCTGCCTTCCTCACTGCTGCTGTGCTGTGCTCTCTGCAGCCTTTCTTCACTTTGCATTCTCCATGTTCACAGCAGTGCCCTATATGAGAGATTATTGAGAATTTATTCCGCACTAGTAAATCATAATCTTCTTCCTATCGCAATCCGCTCTCTAGACTTCTTTCCCAAGAATACAGTATCGTTCTTTTAAAGTACTTTAATTGGAACAAATCACGATCCCAAACTTCTCTCCCATTCTTATGCTCTAAATCAATGCATTTCTAAATAGGCAAAATGAATCAGCATCCCTTCTCTGCATGGATGCTAGACCTCTGTAGACTATGTTGTCTAACAGTTGGTTCCTAGGTTGGTTCCTTGGCTTTGATTCAGAAGTATGTTATCCTGGTGATTTAGCATGTTTTATAAATAGTTTCAGGATATTTGAATCAAGAAAAACTGAAAAATTATGGAAGTAATAAAAATGATACCTGTCTCTTGCACAGTGCTTTCATCACTAGATCCCAAAGTGCCCAGGAAATGCTCCCTACCATTGTTAGTGACATCTCTCAGATTCGGAAGCAGGAGAGAGAGTTTTTGTGATCTGTTCTAGCTTCCTTGGCAGCCTAATGGCAGAGTTGCAAATTAAACTGACCTCTGACTCCGAGCCTGATATTTCATTAACGCAAGCGGGAGCTAAGAAGGAATATGCGAGTTCTGAAGAGGGTCTTAGCATCTTTGTAGTTATAAAACAAAAAAGAGAAAGTTCTTCCTCCCATTATGGAAATACAGGAATAGGAACAAAGATGTCTGTTTTGAGGATATTATTTTTAAAGAGAAGAAGGATTATTTTGAAGGAAGTTTGGTTAATCCACACACCAATAATTGCGGGGAGCAGGAGGGGAGGATTCTGTGCTTAAGTCAGTAAGGGAAAGAATCTGGTGAATTTTGCGAAGGGTGGCAACAACATTTCCTCCTCTTCAGTACAAATAAGATGATGATCCTCATCTTTCAGGAGACGTGAGATTACAAACGAAGGAAGTTGCAGTATTTGAGGAGAGGGAGGCTGCATTTCAGAAAGCAATTCTCTGAGATAAAGACTGTTTTAGAAGAGCAAGTAACAAGAGGGAGATATGGGAAACGAAACAGTCGAAAGTAATAGCCTTAAACTATATCGACAGCTGAAGGTGTTGTCTTGAAGGTGGGAATGCTAGAATTTCAGTTAATGTTGTTATTGGTTAGTAATACAAGATACTTAGCGTTATGGATGTTCCAGCTTAAGAGCCATCTGGCCAAAATTAATATTGGCTTTGAGCACAGAGAAGTAATAAAGACTTTGAGGTCAGGCCATACGCAGCTCTTATTTCTATTTTTTCATTTTCATACTAAGGTAATGTTAATGTGTCTTCATATAGCGCAGCTTTCACCAGGCGTTTTCAGGTTGCATGCATTTGTATTCGGCATGTTTTGTAGTTTGTAGATTTGTATGTTTATTCAGCATGGCTGATTTTGATTTCATAAGTGTAAATTGGAATCTGTTTCAGTGATTTAAATTGACTTAAACTCCGTCGTTTTAAATAGAGTTATACTGATGTAAATCAGAATTTGACTTCACTTTCACTCTCATGTCGTGTAAAACCTGGCTCAAATTTATCTATTGTATATTTGTATGTTGTATTTAGCATTTTGCGTATTGGAATGTCTCTCTTGAGTATGTGCAGATTTGTAGTTGTGCTAACAAGACATGCCTTTACTGTTTAGTAAAACCTAAAAAGTCTGAAATGTGCTGTTGGGCAAAGGCATGCAGTAGGCACCACTGTGTCTTTTGGAAGCTGAATTCTTGAAGTTCCTTGTGAGATTAAGTTATCTTCAGAAGTCAAAGCGTATAAAACTTGGCATCTCTTCTCATAAACTTTCCCATACGCTGTACACAGTTGGAGTGTTTACATGAAAGGGTGCATTTATGACAAATCTGACTTTATTTTCCTGATTTCCTTTGAGTTCTGAAGTGCTAGGCTGTTTGTGCTAGTTATATTCTTGAAACACGAGGTACCAGGGGGACAAGGATGATGCTCCCAGCTATGAAAGCAACTCCTTCCCCAGAGATTCTGTTTTGTCTCAAAATTTAAACTAAACTGACATAAAATTTTTTCTTGCTTCTTTTTGCTGTCCCTAAACTATCAATGATTTAGGATGCATGTACTGCAAAGTACCTTATTTTTGTGGTCCATGCTGTCTGTTAATGTCTTTGTGCTGTGCTCTGTCTCATGTGCATGTGTAACTAGGCTTGATACATACTCGCTTTGTTTAGCTGTGTTGTCATGTCCCTTGTACCGTTGATGACAGATGTATGCTGCAGTTTGATTTGGTTGTCTGTCTGTTGAATGGTGTGTTTGGAACTGCTTGGATAGTTCTTCTAATACAGGACTCTTTCTTCCCCTCCGTTCTCCTTAGTTAACCTAGGACTTATTATTTGTGTCTGTGTATGTATGCATAAAAATAGCCCAGAAGAGACTCGGTTCTGTTCTGCCTTCCTATCCTTACCTAGTCTTTTTTGTTTAAATATGGCTTTTCAGAGCGAGAATTTTGTTGCCTCACTACAACTGTTGTGGAAATAGAAGCTACTGAAGCAGCTTTTAAAAGCAGATGTGAAGTGTGTACACATCTTGGGTTCGTACTCGGGTCCCATTTCAATATAGTCATGTGACGTTTCTTCACGTCTTGCCTCGTTATGTGTTCACGGACTCTGCTCCTGACTCTTCGTTCACTTACCTGGGAAGAAAGGAAAGGTTCCTTGGAGCTGGCAACTCCTGTGCTGGGGCTTCTAGCTGGTACCGCTGTGACGAGCACATTGGTTTCTTGAGGACTGTCCCAAAAAGTGTTTTACTGAAGATCAGATATATTTTGACTGCCTTCTCTGGATCTAAACTGGTGACCTAGAAAGGCTTCTGATCCTGTTTGTATCCACCTTCCAACAGTGTTGTGGGATTAGAAAAAATTTTGTTCTATAAAGGTCCCCAAACTGACTGCAATGTAAACTTCACCTTCTGACCTCACTGACCATGGCAGTGGGTAACTGAGGTAGGTAGGGCACTGCTGCTCTATGCGATAGCATTTCTTGTCCAATATATGTCAATATATAGCCCACAGAAGGCCATGTGCCACTGGGAATGGTTTGCCAATGGTGTCTTCCATTGCTGCAGGAGGGGCGTCTTGGATCTTCATTTTGAGTTACAGTAGGATTACCAGTTTTGGGGACTAAACATATGAAAATGGATGCCCTTTGTAAACAGAGGGACTGTGAAAGCAGTGATATTTCTGTAGAACATGACTATATGAGTGGAAAATTAACATCCTTATTTTGTGAGCCCTGAGGAGATAAGGGCTAGAGCTCCTTAAAAGTTGTTCTGAAGAAGATCATGAAGTTGGTGTTTCCTGAGTTTTAATTTTCCAAACTCTGTTTATTTTCTTTTATATAAGGTGGGAATAATGTCACTGACATCTCGAACAGAGTTTGAAACTCCTGGGTGGAGGGACCTAAAGAATTGCAAGCTATTTGTTATGTACGGACTGGAATCCAAACTCTAGGTCTGCTTGTGTCCTCAGCCAAGTTAGCAACTCAAATCCTTCTGTTTCTGATGAGCTGAGACAAAATACCCTGACATTTAAAAAAAATCTTGGATCAGAATTTCTCCCCAGCTTTGAGAATTGGCTCTTCTTTTACTTATTTTCCTCTTTTAAGGAGAATAGGAAGCATATCTAAAATTAAGTGGTTATCTTATTTTTCCTCCTTAACTTAAAAATAGCCCATTTTAAATTTAAAGTTATTAAATCTCACGCCAGACATCCAAACTGCAGTTCAGAAAAAAGGTGAATGTGTCTAGCATTTTCTAGCATACACATGGCTGAACCTAACACAAAATGAGAGCTGCCAGCCCTGAAACGCAGTTGAGAGCCATCAGCAAGCAGCAGGAAGCGTGTCTGAGTCCAGCAGTCTGTGTAAGGTCTCAGGAGGTCAGACTACAGCGCCTTTTGTGTGTGTTTGTATTTCTCCCCTCCTCCCTTTCTCTCCTTTTCTCTCTCCCTCCATGTGTATTTTGTCTCCTCCTCCTCCTATGCGTGTGTCTTTCTTTGCATCTCCGCTCTTCTCCCTCCCCTCCTTTGGATTGATTGCTAGCCAAGGGACCTCCAGAAGGTCCAGGCACTTTGCGGGATTGTCCTTGTTCCTCCCGCATTTGCCGAGTCAAGGGTATCTCTCCCCAGGCTGGGAGAGATGCTGTTACTCCTGGTGATATGATTGCATAGCAACCCAGCAGCACAGGGCGGTGGAGGAGGAGAGACAGTGAGAGCGTGCACACAGCAGCGCTGAGCCTCAGCATGCATCCCTGTCACAGGGACTCCTTTGCTGATTCACAGAGGCAGCCCCAGTCCCTGCTCCCGAAGCCCAGCTGCTGCCTGCATTTCAGACCTGGCGGACTCGGAAGGTAGGCCATGACAAAATTTGTTTCCCACTCAAATCCTGGCTGTGCTGGAAAGGGGAAAACATCAAAGGATGTTTAACCTCGGAAATACACTCTGTGTTTGTGCGCGTATGTGCATGTGTATATCCCTTCACAGTAACACTGCCCATGTACGTGCGGGTGAGGAAACTTGCAGAGAAGAAAAAAACGGGTGGAGGGGACACAGTGGGAGAGAGAAAGGTGGCCAAGACTGATTCCACAGGGGAGAGGCCAGGAAATGGCAAGCGATGCAAATTCCCAAGGCAAGCAACAGTAGCAAGCATCCCAGTTATCCCTAGCTTTGATTCTGTTCACATCGAAGGCTTATTTATCCTCACCGTGTTTTTGGCTGAGCTGAAGGGCTGCTTAAAGCAGGGTGTACGGTGGCCTTCTAGCATCCTCTTGAAAGGTTTAGACCACAGGCAAAGCAGAGCCTGAAATATTTTTTGAGTAGTAAGTTGGACTCGGGCAGTAGTCCCAGCTCTGCCCTTTTCATTAACTTCCTTGCCCAGTCCATCCTTGCTCCTTTTGTGTTTTGGCCCTCCCTCCCCCCAGCTTCTTCCCAATCCCTTTCACTCATTCCTCCTCCTCTCCCAAGGCCTTATGTTGCCACTGACCTTCCTTTTGAGGAGGGCAGCCCAGAGCTGCTACAGAACCATCTATAGGAGACGTGGGACATTTGCCGCTCTGCAAGGCTGAGCGCTCTGCCTCCCTCTCCTTTCCAGACAGGGCAGCCGAGGGAGCAGTCGATGAAGATTTAGTACTGCTTGGCACGACGGATTCTAACTGGTCCCCAGTCCAGCCCCTTCCCTTCAGTCTTCCCGTCTCCACGGCGTGGCAGGCATGTAGCTCCGATGGCGAAATTATCGGCACTTTATTAACAGGGTCTCTTTGCTGAGATTGTTCTTTGTGGCAAAGGGGAGAAGCGTTTGCTCTTGTGCTTTTGAATGCTGTGCTGGCTATGAGAGAAACTTAGGTTTGACAATTAGATTTTGTTTATCATTGAAAAAAATTCTAGGCAAACCTTCCTAAGTCTATGTTTTATTGTACCCTAATACTAGATCCTTTACACCTTCTCTCTTGCCACTCACTGATCACTCTGGAGCCATGAGAATTTTTGCTTTATTACTCTTATTAATGGCCTTTATTGCTCTACTACAGTACCCTACGCAAATATACCATGTGAAGTCCCAGCTGTAGGGCTCAGTCATGTTGGGAGGGATTCCTTTTTCCTGACAGATCTGCAAGTGTGTGTGTGTCCTGATTTTGGTTCGATCGGGCAGTTGCACATGGTGAGAGTGTCACTTGACTGCTGCATGGATTGCCAGGCAGGACTCTGGCAAGAGCAAGTGTGGAATGGGACTCCAGAAAGGGAATGGCATATAGCCAGGGAATTTTAAGCTATCTTGTTTTGCAGCGCTGTGTCTAGGAGCACATGTGCCTTGAGCGTTGGAGTGGGAAGGCAGTTGGGTGTTGTGTTGTAAGGCTGTGTCCAAGTTCTCTTGTTAATTAAAGAAATTAAGATGAGGACAGTCTCTCTGCAAGTTAGTACCTGAGACAGATAAATCACTAAAAATGGCCGAGCCTGTGACCACAGATGGAGTTGTTCAGATTGGAGTGGCTCTTCTTAAAACTAAACAGAACGGGTTAGTGAAGGGATTAGGTAAATGGATTGAAACGAAAGCCCTGAGTTCTTGACATGAATAGTGAATTTCTGACTATAATACTATTCTGACGAATCCATTCAAGACTTCCACTTTAGGCTAGGTGCCAATGATAAAAGCACAAAAGTGGAATTGGAAATCTCATGTAACAGGACGTACTGAGCAGACAGAATTCACTCTTCAAACAACCTCATTTTCACAGGTGTATAAAGATCAAACTGAGTTCTTAAGAGTTGAGCCAAAATAGCTCCATCCCTTTTCCTTTACTGTTTTCCCTAGCATAAGAATAAGGTAGCTCTAATGCATCTCAGAAAAGAAAAGGAGGGAAATGTGACTTCATGCAGCACGCAATCCATTTATAAAATGCGTTGCCTTACAAGCCCAGAGAACTCATTGCTGTGGCTGGGAGTTTAAAAAGCTGTGCTTTGGTGGGGTACGGAACACTCAGCACACAAAAATATATGTTAATGTAACAGTGAGGACGAGAAAATGCGTCAAGGAAGCCAGAAGTTAGCACAACGTTACCTTTGTTTACGCTGCGTGGTTGACGTGCTCTTCCCATCGCTGCTAATCCTTTATATAGTATGGCAAATGGATGATGCGTTTTCCACAATGCAGCAAGACTTGTTTCCTGTCTCTGACAGCGGGGAAGGGAGAGCTCAGGTTGTTAGAAGAGAAAGACAAAGACAAGATTCAGGATTTTTAGTGAGTTTGAATAGCCTGTTTTCAAGGCTACAGAACATGACTGAGTCTCTGAAGAACTGGCTTCAATTTTTAAGGTTGTTGCAACCTCCTTCCAGTCATTAGGCAAGTTACAGCTCCCCTGCTGTTCCCTGGGTGAGGTGGGGAGGATGCTTGCACCTTTCCCTATTTCTTTTGTCTGGCAGGTCTGTTAGACAGCAGCTTCTCTCTGTCTAACACAGTGGGGCTGTGTTTGCAGCTGGGTCACTGAGGTACTAGGATAATTATTTGTATTACTTGCCTAATTGAAGGAGCAGGAGAAGCTATAGGAAGAATTCCTACGCAAGGTGACTTTTAGGGGCAGCAGCTTAAAACCCACTTGTGAAGCTGGAAGAGCCTGTGAAAGAATTTTAGATTTTAGTCTTCCTAAATAAATTGCCCAAAGTTATTTTTAAGCAGAGTGAGGAACAGTCAGTTCTGCATGGCCATGCTATGGGCAGGCACCCACACTCATCTGGTCAGCTGGGGACATCAACTTCCCTGTTTCCTGGTGCAAGAATGTAATTGGTGGAATATTTCAGCTTGAGTTTTTACAGAAGACACTGTATGTGTGTGTATAGAAATATATATATATATATATATATATTCTTTTGCCTAGGAAAATTGAGATTGAGTGAGCAAGCAGAAGAGACCCTTCTTCTTTATTAGGACTGGTGCCACCTATTTATCCCTTGAATTCAAAGTTCATTTTGGTTATGAGCTCCAACTCCAAATGGTTATTTAATAATGCAACTCTGTAGATGCCAGAGTGCCCCACTTCACCTGCATTCGGTGAATACAGTATCTTCTATACCGCTGCGTTGCTACCAGACACAGCAGAGATTTTGCGTTACTTCTTAAGGACAGCTGCCTCATCATTATGATTAATGAAGCAGACCTGGGTACTTAGGAGGAGGTGTCCTGTCCTGCCTGTGAGGACAGGCACTGCTGGAGAGGCAGTGGGAGAAGGTGGAGGTTCCTGTCAGCTCAGTGTGCCACAACACGTGCACTGCTAAAGCTGGCTGCAGCTTTGGCATCTGGGCTTTCTGCCCTTGGAGGATGTGCCTCTAAATGCCCGTTCATGTGGAATATTGCTGATGGTCCCTGTCCTCTTTCCTTGTACAAAAGAGCAAGTGAGATTCAGGGGACTGTGGAGTGATTTTAAGGAGCATGTCTGGCTATCTACTCCTGCTTTGTAAAGAGATGGAGACTAAGGACCCATGCTCCAGGAGGCAGATGTGTATTATTTATAAGCTTGGTCCTGGTAGGGCAAAACCTTCTCTTCCTCTTCTCACCAAACCTTGACCTGGTGAGGTCTTGGGAAGTAGGTCTGCTGGCCCTGGATCCCAGGCTTAAATTATTTATTTATACACGTGGAAGGCAATTTATTCTGGAACAGGATATGCTGTCACACTGTCAAGGGAGTCTAGCTGTCTCTGCCAGCTTGGGAATGCTCCTTTTGTTAGTATATGCATGGGAGCTGAACTTTGAAGTATCCACAAGCCTCTCACCTTTCCCCTTAAAGGACACTGAGCATACTGAGCTCAAATGTTATTACTTCTCTTGTTCAGTAAGTTAAACAAAAACAAAGTCATTAACATTTCCAGCAGCAGGGAATGTGTTTATATTTCCATTCCCCTCATGGGATAAAGGCTGAGCTGCCTTGCCTCATAATGTTGCCGTATTTTTTCCTTATGGGCCAAGAACTGAAGTGGAAAGTTTCAGTCTAGAAGGAACATTTTGGAGGAAATTAGTAGTTCAAAGCATAAGCCTTGTGATAGAGAGACCTTCTTGACCTATTTGTTGTTGTTATAGGGAGTAGAGAGCTGGAAATACCAAATCTGGCATCGGATTCTAGTTTCCGTGAACGGTGCCTGATCCTTGGGGTTAACAGCAGAGATGCAGGTTAGCCCACAACACGAATTGCCTTGACGTTTAGGAGAGTTTGGATCTGAGGTTGTATCAGGACTATTTGTAACAATGACAGTGAAATGTTATGCTCCTGGATGTCAATACCTAAAAAGGTGAAGGAAGAAATACTCTTGTGCAGTGCACGCTCTTGTGGTAAGCTGTTCTTTCTCTTGCATGGGATGGAGAAGGTGCTGCAGAAGATGGGTCACAGTCTGTGTACTTGAGTGCTGCCTTCCAGCCAGTCAGCACTGCTGCTGCCGTGGAGCTGTAAATAGGAGCAATGCAGAGATCCCTGAGCAGAGCAGTAAGTGATGTTGTAGAGCTGAAGCAGAACTGGTTGTGCAAGGGCCATTATAGCTGCCTTTGTCAGACAGCTTGGAAAGCAGTGCAATGAGCCAGGCTCTCCAGTGCTGATTTTGTAGAAGGAACAGCTCAAGCAGGAAGAGGAAAAAGGCAACCGCTTTGTTTTGAGTACTCCTCAGTGCAGGAGCATTCGGCTGTTGAAATGCAATATCAAGACTTTTTACTTCCTTATTTTTCAGCTAGGGGATCATCACTAGGCTAAAGGGTTGTGGCTTGGTTACTAATGTGTTTGGAAGCTGTAACACAGCAGTGTGAAACATGTAACACTGTGTTTCTTAAGGTGTACTAAGAGCACAGGCATGTTTTGGGTGCTTTTGGTGTTGGAGGATGCCAAGCAATCACCCACCTTTAAGGAGACTGCATTTCTAGAGTGATCTGATCTTTGTGCCTGGATCAGGTACCTCCAGGAAAGGCCAGGTGCCATGTGAGATATACACTAGCGAGAAAGGTTTTGCTCCATGCTCTCTCCACCGCAGGGGAGTGCCTCAGTGCCTGCTTTGTGGTAAACCACAAGGCCGTTTCTCATGATGAGCTCACATGGAAATTTTCGCCGGCTCCTCATTACATAGAGGTTGAATTTTCCCTCTTGCACAGGAATGTGCCCAGAGGATCAACCTAGCTTTGAATATGATGTGGGTGCCCGGCCACATGGCTCCCCACTCCTTGGCAGGGCCAGAAAGAATATTTTGTGTAATAAGCTGTGGAAAGCAGCATTCTGGCTGCACAGAATGGGGCTGATTCCTGCAGTTCCCTTTGTCCAGGCGAGTATGAAAGGTGACCATGAAAGGTGTAAGCTTTCTCCTTCCTTGCGAAAGCTGTTTGTACAGTGGGTGTCATCTCCTAGAGCCTCCATTGGGCTAGTGGCAAGGCCTAGAGGTGATTACAGTCTAATGCAAGTGCAGCATCAACATGATGTTTTCATAGGGCCCCAGAACTGATCTGGAAAGGGGAAGCTCTAGGCTGCTTAATATTCCCTTGTGCATATGCTTCTACACAAGCACAACAGGATCCGCTGTTCTGTGCGCTGTGGTTGCCATTCTTGTACCGTGACCCTGGTTCAGCTCCTGGGAGATGGTTCTGTCTCACTACACGTGCAGGGCCACGCTGATCTCCATCAACAACTACCTTTCTTTTTGAAAGCATGGTATACCTTTTCCTTCCTCGTTTGGGGCATGGCAGGCAAAAACGTTTCCCTGCTGCACCAAGCTATGGAGGGATTCCAGCTGATAAGAAGCTGTGCTGCATCTCGGCACAGGACTGGATTTGCAGGAGACTGTTCTGTCCAGCTGGTTCAACGATCAAGAGAGATGGAGCTTTTGGCTTCTCCAGATCATCTGTTTTGTAGCCTCCTTTCCCCCCTCCTTACTCTGATAGTCAGATAGAGTTTTCTTAATTACACTCCTTTGTATTTCGTGCTCTCTCTCCCCTCCACCCCTCAAAGGTAACCAACCTTTGAATGTCTACAATCATTTGGCGTGGATTTTTAGCCAGGCCATTTTAGCTGCCGATGTTTAAATTTCTTTCACTGACCTTGTGACTTGGCAGTAGCACGCCTGATTTCCAGCATCAACGAATAGCAGAGTTCACAGGGATGAGCACTGGTGTGGGAGAGGCGAGGTGGATCATACAGCTCAGTTCTTGACAAGCACAGGCAGCAAGCAATAGGCATTTAGTCCAGAAGCATCCACAGCACATCTACTCTGCATGCTGCAGTGCTCAGACACTGTACCATACTGGAGCTGGAAAGTAAAAGTGCAAGATCCAGGGCTATTTTGTGTGCTACTGCAAAGGAGCAGAAATCAAGAGCGTTTCTCCTTGCCTGGCTCCTTCAATAGCAGGGAATTTGGCAAGTGATCACATGTAGTGCGTTTGCTTGCAGCCGTGCCTCACTGCCTGGTTGTCTCTCTCTCCCGCTAAGTATCTTTCTTTGTATTTAGTTACTTCCACGGGTTGGTTTTTTTTTTTTTTTTTTGAGTTCTCCATATCTTGGCTTTATCTTTGCTATTTCAGAGTGGCAAAGAACAGCTCAGCTCTTTCCACCAAACCTGTAAGGAAGGTTCCTGTGTGAGCAAGGTATTGCACAGGATATGCTTGAGGTAGTGGCAAAAGCCTTAGCTTTCCAGCTTTCCAGCTCTTGTTCTGCTACTGCTGCCTCCGACAGGCTTTTGCTCACTTGTGCCATGGCTCTGTGTCCTCCCAAACTTTGTCATTGCTCAAGGAATTAAGGACCCCAGCACCCAGGAGATGCTGAATGTTAATGGGGCAAATTCACCTTGTGTAACTCCAAGGGAGCAGTGGATGATGCCTCCTATCCATAATACTGGTAGGGAGCATGGTAGGGAGACCTACCACATCCTACATGCAGGTACCTGTAGGACATGGCATCCCCTTTTTTTCAGAGCCCTATCTACCCTGTGCAAGGAGGCTTATTCTGAGCAAAATTCAGTAAGATTAGAGCAACCTTCCTAGAATTGCTCCCCCTCTCTGCCGCTGGTGGTGGGAGTAGGAGATGATGGGAGGGCTGGCAGCAGGGTATCCCTGTGCCCATTGTTAGAGGGGCTGGGTGAACCTGCCTGGCTAGCATGCCTCATAGCAATTGCATTGCTCTGTGCCACAGAGAAACTGAGGGTCTTGGGATGGTAGTTACCATGAGACATTGCAGAATCTCATCAGCAAAATGCCATGAATTTTCCAGCCATGTGGGATTCCTCTGACAGCACCTTTGAGGCAGAAGAGCTCTCTGTGCCCTGAGGATTTTATCTCCACTAGATAGAATTTCTTGGCTAGCCTCATCTAGAGGTTAGTTGGATGTTCAGCAACAGCTCAGACCTCGTAATAGGGTAAGTGTTGGCAGAATAAGGCATGTGTAGTGCGTGTTAGTATCTTCTGCCAAAGGCAGAACTCATCCACTGCTCCCTTGGAATTACACAAAGCGAATTTGCCCCATTGACATTGAGGGGTTCTGAAGACCCTGGGATTTATAACCATTAATGTGTCATGATAACGCTGCCAGTGACAGGAGAAGGGTGGGGGATGCTGTGATACACAATCTGTCATGCTTGTTTGTGCAAATGGGTGGGAAGGGTAGAGGATGGGACCTTGGGATTATCAGCATATTGGAGAGCTCAGTACAGGCTGTTCTGCTGGAGGAGGAGAGAATTATGGCTCTACAAACTGCTAAGGGATTAAAAAAATCATAACAGGATAAGCTGCTCTCTTAATGTGCGTAATGGAGGGGGGAGAGGCAGTGAAAGCCCAGGCAAGGGAGTGAGGGATGGGAACGTGCAAGAGATGGGCAGTGTGTACCAGGGCCTGGGGCTTTCTCCTCGCCTGGCTGTCCACTGCAATTGCTCTCTGGGGAGGACACGCTTCTTGCTCCTGCCCTGCCAGGACCAAGCACTAAGTGTCTGAGCTGATCCAAGTGGGCTGGATGTGAAGGAGGCAACGTACCTTCTTCCAACAGCATCGCTCTGCCGGTACCTTGCAGGCAGCCCCACCTCTGCTTTAATGTGAGGCCTGGTGGCTGGAGCCAGCTGATGGTCTGCTTCTAAAAGCAGAAAAGCAATCACAGAATCCCTCAGCGCTGCATCTTAGCCCTTCACAGGCAATACTCAAGCTTCGCTCCTGAGCTGCCAATTTGTTTGACCCTGGAAGTGCCGAACCTTTATGGGCAAGGCCCTGGGTAGTATTCGCAGTTTTTGCATGTTAAGTCTCCAACCTGCTGTGAACCTGTTTATGCTCAGCTCCTCTTGTGGTGTTGGCACTGACTAAATGTACAGTTGCATGATCGGTCTAGGGATTTGTCCAGTTCAGGTAAACCATTACCTTGCACCATGCTCTCTGGGCTTTTTCTCATGGCTTTCTGTAAAGCTGAAATGATGCTGGCACTGGGATACTCACTATTTTAGTTCCGTTACAGTGAAAACCAAAAGAAGCAGCGCATTGGCCAGAGGTTATGTTTCAGATCTGTAGAGTAGGCAAGGGACCCCTGTTAACTGGCTTTATGGATCATACAGTTTTAAAAACTGCCTAAGAAGAGTAAATTTTAAAATTCATAATGAGTAAGAGCTCATAATGAGGTAGCTGATCATGTGAGATGCATGTACAGATGACTGAAACTCTAGAAAATGTTCTTTCTGAACATAAAAGGGAAAAATAACGTGTCTGAAAATGTTTAAACATAAATAGTCATGACAGTGCCCTGAGGACAGCGAGATCTTCTTTCCCCTATGCTTTTAAACTCTGTTGGGCATCTCTTATAGTTCAAAAAACCCAACCCTTTAAGATGCAACACAATCTGTGGAACTCACTAACTCAGGATATTGTTAAAGCAAATTATATAACTAGGTGCAAAAAAGGAGTTGGATATTTATATGGAAAAAACTTGTAATGTTAGCGCTAAGATTAAAAAAAAAAAAAAAAAAAGTTGCCTCGTCTTGGTCTTCATGCAGTTGCATCTTCCTAGTCTTCATGCTTGATGAAGGAAGCACACTGGGCAGCTGGGAAGGGGTTATCTCCGTGAGGAGGTGTGAGCTGATCCAGGGGCTCTCATGCTGCATTTCAGGTGCTTGTGCCCAGAGTCGTCTGCATCCCCATGAACATCGGTTCTGATGCAGCCCCTGGTCATGCAGGAATGGCCCTCTGTCCTCCCACGGTGTCCTGAGTGGCATGTTGCAGACCAGGCGCAGCACAGCAGCACTGCCCACCCGCTGTCTCAGGTAAGAGTCTGGGAGCCTTTCTCATGGCAGCTTCTTGCAATGGTCACAGATGTCTGTATGTAGACCAAACAGGACCTCCTCTGTTCCTGTTAGCAGTTAGCTCCAGCCCCCCATCAGCTTCTAGTTAGCGAGAATGTTAGCTCTCCTGGTGTGTTATAGCTGCCAAGTTTCCCAAAGTGGAGCAAGAGAAAACAACCTGCAGAGCTGGATTTCAAACTTCCTTCAGCATTATAAAAAGAGGTGGCCACCTTTAGTGGTTCCTGTATATTTGGTTGGGTTTACTTTTTCCTGGAAATTTGGAAGAATGTTGGTTTTTTTGTTTGTTTGTTTTAAAAAAAAAAAAAAAAGTTTGTTTCTAATCTTTCTGGTTGCAGAGAAGAGCTCAGAAATATGCCTCTGATGGATGCTAAGGGCTAAGATACCAGAAGGCAGAGGAGGAATCTGACCTTTTTCTAATCTAGTTTCCCCAAGGAATGGAGCGTTGGTGCTCATTGTGGGGCTTGCTGGGAGGGAAAGGGAGCTGGGACAGGACGCCCCATGGTACCCACTGTGGTCATGCTGCAGACTGGCATGCAGAGTGGGTGCAAACACACAGCTTGGGTCATATCCACCGAAAGTTTCCCCCTTCCCTGTCCGAGTTTGGCATTCTGCTGTGCCGGGTACCAGCATGTTCAGTGCCATGCACCAGCAGGCTGCTGGCTCCTGCAAAAAAGACAGCCTGCCTTGCCTGAAGGGTCTGCCGTGCCCTCCTTGTCACAGGGGTAGGTGTCACCTGCTAGGAAACAATCCTCCTCTGTTGTGCTCAGTTGTCCTGAAAGCTCCCAGCTTCCTCAGCTGTGGATAACCCACCCTTAACAGTGCCCTGGCCTTGCTGAAGCACCCTCCTCTGGCCTGCAAGCGAGTCCTGCATCTGTTGGGGCCAGAGGCATGGAGACAGGCAGAGGACAAGGTGGTGGGGAGAGGAGGCTGGCTGGGCTGGTCCGGGAGGGAGAGACACCAGCAGTCAGATGCGCAGGCAGGGAAGGAGGGGAAGAGAGGGAGAGAGATACAGGGAGCTTTTCATTCCTTCCCTGTAGGTGGAGGAGAGCATGGAAACAATGCTGGGTGGCGGGACTCCGGAGAACGCTGTGGGGGATGCAAGGAGCCAGCCTAGAGCCTTCTGGCAAAAACAAACTATTTGCACCCAGCTCAGGCAGGCAGGAGTTGTGGCCGGGAGTGTCCGTGTCCTGGGCACCCAGGAGAGGGCTAGGGCACCCAGTGCTGGGCGTGTGGGGCACAAGCAGAGCATCTTTGGCTTCTTGGGGGTTAGGTTTTGAGGACCCGACTGTTTACCTTCCTGGTAGTCAAAGCTTGCAGGGACCATGCTCTGGAGAAATCCCTTCCCTGGTAAGCCCCCCAGCTGCCCTCTGTGCACTCAGTGTTGGAGGGCTAAGGGGCTCTGCTGCTCTCCTGGTCACTCTGTCCCAGAGCAGGGTCACCTTTGCTGTGCCCTTCCAGAGCTGGAGGTTCCCTGGTGCCTGGAGTCATTCCTTTGCATGCATCAGCTTCCCGCCAGGGGCTTTTCCACTCCAGGGCACCCTGCAGTAGGCAGCTGCAGCTGCCCCCTGCGCAGGCAGCTGCAGCGGCACCCCCAGGGTTAAGGCAGGTTGGAGGCCGCTGGAATGCCTCCGGACAAAGCTGGGATTGAGGCTGGCAACGCAGCGCTGCCGCCCCCCTCCAGATTCCTGGGGGGTCAGTGCT